TCTATTCAGCCAAACAGTAACAGGAGATTTCCTAATAGGGCCTATGGCCTCATTATCCATGGGCTTTTGAACAGGCTTACAGTAGTTGATACGAATTTCTTCCCATGGAGTAGAGCTTACGCCCGCTCAGAAAGCAGTTGGTAGTACCCATAACGGTGGTGCCACTATTCCATTAGTGGTCACCTCTTGTCTGACAAGTCTGCAGTGTAACCTTCAGTGATCACAGCTGGGGAGGATACATCTGGTGATCTTTCCCCAGCAGCCTGCACAGCACCTTCCAGCACCGTGAAAGTTAGCTAGCAGGAAGCCTCTAGCCCAGTTCCAGCTTCATCTCTCCAAGTTCCCCAACCAAAGTGGGTGGTGTCTTCAGTATTAGGGTCTTATCATCTAGTTTTGGTGAGAAAACCAACAGCAGTGGAAGTTGCCTTATAGTTTGGAGAGCGTCCCTGGCCAACAACTCAGGAGGTGGCCTACCCCCACCACTGGAATTTCCACTAACCTTATGGCTTCTAGGAATATTTATTTCCAACCAAACAAGGTACTTTTGTTCAAACTCTGAGCTTTGACACTGACAGGCACAGGCTGTTGGACGATTTTCCCCCTTATCCTGTTGTCCGACCTCCATGCTTTATCCAACCACAAAGCTCCCAAGGATTTCAGAGTTGTGCGTGGCCCCTGAGCCTTGTGTGAACTGATTCCCCATGTGCTTGCATGTGTTTCAGGAACCAGCCTTTCTTTTCTTTTCTTTCAATCTGTTTTATTTTTAACTATGTGTGGGTGTGAGGGGTGGGTATGTGCAGGTGATGGCAGGTGCCCTCAGAGGCCAGAGGCATTGGAGTCCACTGGAGCTGGAGTTACAGGTGGTTGTTTGTCGACTCCATGACATGTGGGTGCTGGGAACTGAATTTGAGTCCTCTGCCAGGTGGCTGTAACCACTGAGCCATCTCTCCAGCTCTCAGATGCCTTTCTAAATCTCTTCAGACATCCAGAAGTTAGCATTACATCACTTGTGAGATGAAGGGGTTTTGCAAAGGGTGGCAGGGCCTCTGAAGGACCACCACCCACCATGCCAACCAATTGCCCGTCGATTTCAGAAGTCGGTAGCTTCAGGGACACTAAGGGAAAATGATAGTGTGGTCCAATGCAGCGTGAAAATTTTCCATTTCTTCTATCCGTTGTTTTCTCAAAAGTCTGACGTTGAGTGCAGCTGTGTGAATGGGAGCTACTTCCTCAGTTACCCGCCACTACCCACAACCATTTGCCATGTGTTGTTCCATTTCCTCATGCTGAAGCGCCACCACAGGGATGACAAGCCTTTTCCCACCTGTAACAGGCTCGGCGGGGCTTGGGCTGACTCTCGTTGCTTGGGCTGGCCCAGGGCCTAGAGGAAGCAGCCATGTCACACCGGCTATGGGGAACACTCTCCACAGATCTGACTGTCTCTGGGCTAAGCTTGTCTGGCTGCTGCCTCTCCATTGGCTACATCCGGCTACTGAGAGATCTCTAGGTTGGGCCAACACTTTCCAGTCCCAGTATACTTCCTCTCAGGAGAGGAGTCTGCATAGCGTATTCTGGTTGGGGGTGGGTGTTTAATTACCATCCTGGCGACAAACAGTCTTTTCCCCTTGTAGTGCTGACATTTATATATTAATTAAACTTTTGCTTCAGACCTACAAACCTTCCAGAGGTTCAATACCAGTGAATTTTGCTAACATTTTTTCCTTAGGAACTCTAGCTTGTCACTAATATTGCCTCAAATTTGCTTTCCAGTTCCCACACAGGTCCCTTTGTCTGATTTTTTTTTTTTTTAACATTCCCTCTTGATTGCTTTATTACTTTATGAAGTTGTTTACATATCAGTCCACACTGTTCAGACCTGCCAGGGTGCTTCCTCCTAATAAGGCCATGCATCACACATTAAAGCCTGTACTAGTCCCAAGGTAACTGTTGATTCAACCTCTCTTCAATCTCCCGGTCCTATCTGGTATAATGAACAGGGCATGAGACACTGCCTTTCTCATGCTTGATTACTTCCATGTTTATCCTTCCTCTATTGTACTCTAGTTCATAGTCGTCAGGGGACCCCCTTACTGGAGGACACTGAGCATCTGTGACAGTTCCTCTGAGTCACCCATCAGAAACTGATTTCCCTCATATTGTCTCAGATCATGTCTTAGTTAGGGTTTCTATTGCTGTGGAGAGACACCATGACCACGGCAACTCTTATAAAGGAAAACATTTAACTGGGGCTGGCTTACAGTTCAGAGGTTTAGTCCATTATCATCATGGCGAGAAGCATGATGACATGCAGGCAGACATGATGCTGTAGAAGGAGCTGAGAGTTTTACATCTAGGTCCTCAGGCAGCAGGAGATTATGTGCCACACTGGGCATAGCTTGAGCATATGAAACTTAAAGCCTGCCCCACAGTGACACATTTCCTCCAACAAGGCCACACCTACTTGAACAAGCCACACCTCCTAATAGTGCCACTCCTCATGAGCCAAGCATTCAAACACATGAGTCTATGGGGGCCATACCTATTCACATCACCACAGATCATATAGTTTTTGTCTTAAGCAGGGATGTGTGGTTCTGTTAGTTTTTCTGCTGCCACAGCACTAGGCTGATCCCATTTACTCCCTTGTCCTGCAGCTTTAAGAGCAAGGCTGTGACTAATTTCTCATGTAAAAGCCTCTCCCAATTCAAACAGCTCAATGGCACAGTACTCCATGGTTATCACACCAGGCCATTATTAAGACCCCTGTGCACCATGGGTGTTTTTCTTTCCTCTGTATTAAAGATCATGCATGAGGGATATCTTCCATTCCTTCCTCCTTCTCATTGCCAAATTCTCCCTATGGATCCCAGGATTGGGGATCACGGGGAGGACTATTTAGCATTCATATCATTTGTACTTTCTTCCTTTTAAGCCCTCCACCATGACATATGAAATGGCAAGCTAGCGGTCCATCATGCATCAGTTTGAGTGCACAAATAATACACTCAGTTACCAATAACGTGTCGGCGTTGCATTAAGGACAGAAATCAACACAGCATTTCCCTTTGGTGTCATTTAACCAACAGTGAGCCCAGATAGGAATTCCCCACTTTGTTCTCTGGTGTCTCCCATCATCCCTGCCCGTCTGCTGTATGAGTCTGAATCTGTGTCTGCCTGGATGCCATCTTTTGAATCTGTCTCTATTCTATGACTGTATATCCATGTGTGCTCACGTGGCTGTCCCTAACAAAGGGATGAAGAGCACAGAGTATCACACAGGGAAGGAATGAGGGACACTTAGCAGAATCCTTCAACATTTTATACTTCAAATGACCCCAACTGACCCAGATAACAAACAATATTATATTTATCATTGTTTATCAAACAATACCCCTACATGTTGTCTTCAATGATTATGGATACTCATTGTTATAAGATTGCTTTCAATATATGATTCCCACAACACAAACAAAGCATACATGCATTACTCCTGGGTCAGGGACATGGAAGAGTAGGTAACTCAAGATTACGGCTACTCATTAGCTTTGGTTGTAAAAGTTGACTATGTGGGAATCAAAGGCAAATAAGGTTGATTGTTAAGCACAGGTTAAACAAACAGGCTGACTACACAGTAGGCTATCAGTCTTAAGTGACTGCAAGGTGTATTATTAACTGACTGTGAGGTCCTACAAAGGTTCCAGTCTCTTGGAGTAAGAGATTTTTATCATGCTGCATTGCCATACCACTTTATTTTGAGAGAGAGAGAGAGAGAGAGAGAGAGAGAGAGAGAGAGAGAAGAGAAGAGAAGAGAAGAGAAGAGAAGAGAAGAGAAGAGAAGAGAAGAGAAGAGAAGAGAAGAGAAGAGAAGAGATACACAGAGACAGAGAGTGTCACACTATACCCCTTACCCCTTGTTGGCCTCTAACTGACAGCAACTGCCTGGCTCTACCTTCCAAGTTCTGAGATTAATGGGCATGTGCCCTGTTTTTTTTTTTTTTTCTTTCATTTCTGTCAATCCAGAGAATAATGCAGAGGACAGCATCTGCATCTTTTCCTCATAATTCCTTGCTTAAACAGGCAAATTCTTTCTGGACATCTCAGCTTCAGTGGCATGTCTTACTGATGCCGCACCATGTTTATGACGGCATCCCATATGTATGTGTCACTTTCAAGGATTGAGGTATCACATGGTCAATTCCATTCATCAAGGAGGCATGCCGTTGCATACCGATAGAGGAAGTTCCTTTCTGGAACTTTCCCCACAGACACTCCTCCTGCAGGTGGAGCACTGCGGTCTTGTTTATGTCTTTCCACTCAAGGCAGGAGCAAGGCAACCACCACTACAGCAAGTGTCTTAGTCAGGGTTTCTACTGCTGTGACGAAACACCATGACCAAAAATCAAGTTGGGGAGGAGAGGGTTTGTCTGGCTTACACTGCAGCATTGCTGTTCATCTCCGAAGGAAGTCAGGACAGGAGCTCAAACAGGGCAGGATCCCAGAGGCAGGAGCGGATGCAGAGGCCATGGAGGGGGGCTGCTTACTGGCTTGCTTCTCCTGGCTTGCTCAACTCACCTTTTTATAGAACCCAGGACCAGTAGGCCAGGGATGGCACCACCCACCCTGGGCTGGGCCCTTCCCCCCGTTGATCCACTAAATGAGAAAATGCCCTACAGCTGGATCTCATGGGTGGCATTTCCTCAGCTGAGGCTCTTCCTCTCCGACGACACTAGTTTGTGTCAAGTGGACACACAAAATCACCCAGTAGATTAGGAGAGCCTGCCATTCCTGCCGCGTGGGAAAGGATGACATCAAGATTGCTCCCTTTGCGTGCTCCACCTTCAGACAGCTTAGCCCCAGTCGCTCTCTTATTGCCCATAGCAGAGACAAGGCAGGTACCACCCCTAAGCCCATCACTGGGACCCCACACATAAAGTACCAAGTGTGTGAATTGTTCTTGCGGGAGACAAGCAAACATCGATTCACTCAGATTAGGACACCAATAACATGTCCACCCATGTCGACCCTGGGAACCCAGTGAGTTTAATGAGGGCTACAGGAGCAGTGGTGGGTGGTTACTTACAGGAGCATAGGAGGAGTATTTACAGGAGCATGGAGTTCATTAACAAAAAAGAAAAGCCAAAACCGAGGCTTAAGGTGGCTAAGAGCTGGACCAGAGCTTTACAGGGGATTAGTGGAATCTGCTGAACTTCACACTAGGGTCTCAGGCCGGATGGTGGTGATGCATGCTTTTAAACCCAGATCTCTGAGTTCGAGGCCAGCCTGGTCTACAAAGAGAGTGAGTTCCAGGACATCTAGGGCTACACTGTCTCAAAAAAAACTACCCCCTAAAAAAAAACCCAAACCCCAAACCCTAGGGTCTCTGCACCCTACAGTGCAGGGTTGTTTTCCTGAATCGCGAGGCTGCTGTAGTTTGGTGATGTTGTCATGGAAAATGATCAACACACAGAGTAGGTGGGGCCGAGTGCTGCCATGCTACTGTCAATTTTGTGGTGTGTCAACACATCCATTTATTCACCAGGACATTGCACTGCACCATGCCACCTTGTTAAAGAACATTTATGGAAACACACACACACACACACACACACAAAAAAAAAAGAAAGCAGGCTGGTGATGTAGCTCAGCGCCAAAGTGCTTCTTCAGTCTCCAGGACCACAAGAAGTTAGAAAAAAAAAAAAAGGTGTGTGTGTGTGTGTCTGTGTGTGTGTGTGTGTGTGTGTGTGTGTGAAGGGGTGAGTGCTCATAGAACTCGATATCCATATAAAAAATGAAGTCTGTTTCATTCGTTTTCAGCAGACATCTCTTGTAGCAGCTGTTGAACCTTTCAAGAAGAAAGAACAAAAGAACATGGCATGGAGGCCTTGGAATGGACACTCAGGAAAGGATCCCGGCCCCCAGAGCCCTCACTGTGTGTGGCTATAAAATGGATACCTTCGTAATGTCTGGCCTCTTGTTTTTCTTCTCGTGCAGACACTGGCTGGCCGCAGCGTACATGGCTTCGACGGAGGCAGGGTCAGCATCGTCCATCTTCTCATCCGTGTAGTCTTCAATCGTCTTCTCCTCATCCTCAATCTCGTCTTTAATATCCAGCTAGAAAGTGGGCATTAAGACGTGGTTAAAAGCGTCACAACGAAAGACATCAGAATGTGAATTTAGATCACTGAGCTTCGTCTATTTTTGTAATAACCTGAACTCTCATCTTACTACTTTTTATAACCTCCTTAGGGATTGAAGCCACACGGGACAAACGGTAGATAAGGAAATGTATACACATGCACACATTACTGACTTGCTAGTTTTTTCCCCCATTGACTCCTACCCATCAGCTTTACGACTCTCATCCTTCTGTGATGAGCTAACTGCATGCATTTCTGTTGGCAGCATTTGCCAGTTCAGGGTCATCAGCTTTTCGATCATTTCTGAAAATGCAATTCTACCTTCTGGATCCAGACTCCCCGTTTCTATCCACGGGGACTCGGACGGATGAATCAAAGCGAAAGGAGGACTGGGAGGCTGGGAGACGAATGAGGAGCAGATGGTGCTGTGGGTTGAACGGTCAGTTGAGTGATGGCCCCAGAAGCGTGTATCTGTGTCTGTCTACGTTCTGGTTCCTGGGGTCTGAAAATATGCCCTCATGTGGAAAAATGATCTCTCTAGATATCTGAAGTGTGTGGTCATCTTGGGTGCAGTGGTTTGGATGGAATGTCTGCCATCGGCTCATTTGGTCTTCTATGGGTGGTGCTGTCTGGGTAGGCTTGGGAGGTGTGGCCTCGCTGGAGGACCTGGGGGTGGGCTTTGAGAGCTTCAAGCCCCACTCTACTCCCAGTTCACTCTGTTTCAAGCTCGTGGTTTAAGATGTGAGCTGCCAGCCTCCTGCTCCTGTGGCCAGGCCAGCCACTTGTTACCATATCTCCCTATCAAAGACTTGGGAACCATAAGCCCCAATACACCCTTTCTCCTATATGTGTATGTGGGTCATGACATTTTACCACAGCAATAACACAGTAAGTAAGACACTGCGTTATCCAGGCAAGCTCTAACTTCAATGACAAGTGTATGTGTGTGTGTGTGTGATGTGTGTGTGTGGGTATATATACATATATATATGACAAAAAGAAATAGATACAGAAGAAAATGTGACCACTAGCAGCAGAGACTGTAGTGACAAGGGTATAAGCCAAAGCTACCAGAAGCCACCAGAACCTGTAAGAGGCTGGGAATAGTATCTCCTGGTCCCTCAAGAGGGATTCATGGTCTTAACAAACCTCGACTTCAGACTCCTGCCCTGTATTCTGTCACTTTAAGACATCTGGTTTATAGTATATTTTGTAGTAGCTCAAATAAATTTGTATCGAAAGGAAGGATTATGGGTGAGGAGTGGGATGTAGCATTCCAAAGCTCTTCCACAAGATGGATTGTGAAACTACACAGGCAGTGGGAGGAAGCCTCACTGACAGGTCACACTTGAGAACGCACATTACAGACTTAGGACTGACTTCGCGGCGGCCAGACCACACTCAAGAGGGTGCTGTTTCCTGACTTTCACACTTTCACTGTTAAACAACGCAGTGCAAACTTGTGACTCACGGAGATCCTATCTTTCATTCCTATTCGAACCACGGTGGTGACTTTTATACCTCCTGAAGGGGAGAAGGGTCTCACTAGGAGACCTAGGTAGGCCTTTGTGTAGGCAAGGCTGCCTGAAAAAGAAGCCAAAGCAGGTGAAGCTTGGGTCTCGCTCCTAACCCCATACCGTGTTCTTGGCCCTGTGAGGCTTCGTTTGTTTTGCTTTCCTATTGTTTTGTTTTGTTTTAGGGATCCAATTTAGGGCCTTGTGCAAGCTAGGCAAGAGTTCTCCCAACCAACCTGCATCTCTAAATCCCTCCTATAAGAAATCATTTTTATATTGATTTATATATTAGGGGGTAGGGTGGAGGTCATAGGACAGCTTGAAGAAGCCAGTTCTCAGGTCAAGAGACTGAACTCAGGTCGGGCTAGGTGACAGCACCTTTACATGCTGAGCATCTCACTGGCCTCTGTATGTCTAATGCTTATGTTTTTAATCCAACCTCCACCCTGAACTTTACCTATGTCCATATACTAACAGCGTAAGTGAAATGTGGCATCCCCAATTCAGGTTTCCCTCTTGACCTCACATAACTGATGAGACAGAGAACTTTATATTTCTGGTTAACATAAAATTTACCTTTTGATCTGTCATTATAAAAATGTGAATACCATTAGAATATTCTGACAGATGTCTTCCAGTGCAAATATATTACATATACTATTTTAATATTACATTTCCAACAGACCATGGACATTTTTGATTTATAGTAGTGGACATTTGTAACAATCTCACATACTACAGTTTACTCCAATTAGTATTGGCACTAAGACTTTTGTTGTCCTTATGAAGCCGTATTTTAACCATCCGAATGTATGTGTGTGTCTATATGTGGATATGTGTACAAGTTTGCAGGCGCCCGTGGAGGTCCAAGGCCTCAGACCTGGAGCTGGGGTTACAGGCAGTTGTAAAACACCTATCATGGGTGCTGGGAACTAAACTTGGGCCTCAGGAAAAGCAGTATGAGCTCTGGACTGCTGCACCGTCTCTCCAGCCCAGGCATCAAGACTGAATAAGCAAGTTACACCTTATGACCGTCTGATCCTAATTCTGAGACATGATCTAGTATATATCTATTGTCTGAATTGTTCATACCAGTTTGTGCTATTAGGGCATATACATAAATGAGGATAAAAGGAGTACAGTTGTTAATTTTGAGAAACATTTATATGATATATATCACATATATGTCTTCATATATATGAATATCACATATATATTTCTTTAGACACACACATATATATAAATATATATAAAAATATATGTAAAGACACAGGTATATGTATCATTAAAGATACATATATCTTTAAAGGATATGACATAATTTATCTAAAGTTTAGTTATCACTTAACTCATCTACTTCTAAACTATCAATCAGATGTTCAATGTAAAAATTAAAAGGGTAGGAATGGGAGTACAGGAGGGAAGTGTTAATGAAACACTCCACGATTAAATAGAGAGCTTTTACTGGCATTTATATTCTTATGCATATATGAATGAAAACTATGATTTTTTTTCCTATGGCCTCACCATCCAGGGTCTGCACACCCCAGAAAGTAACAAACCATGGGTAAACTAGTTTTCTTCTCACTTTGCTACAAAGACACTGGAACAAAGAATACAGAAATAACCTTTTCAGGCTTCACAAATACATCCCAGCAAAATCCAGGACGGTAAATACATCACACACTTTCACTATGCCATTACACATGGCCAGTCTTATGTCAGAAATGCTATTTCTATATGACACATTTACACACGTGAATTTAAAACCATACAGGCAAAAGAGGAAAAGACAGAAAAAAAAAATGAATTAGTTACGAGTAACTGAGGTTCACGGTTTTCATCCACAGCCGCAAGTCCGGTTATTAGCTCTAACAAAACCTAGGAAGATAAAGAGACCCATTAGCAAAACACTGAAGACATCAAGTAGACATTAAAAGGAGTATGGACTGGGCCCAGGGACTTGAACGCCCTAAGCAAGGCTTGCTTGTGCTAACCACTGGCCTGGATCATGGATGTTGACAGAAATCTCCCTAGTCATTTCCGTAGAAAGCCTATGGACACAGGTATCCAAAAGTTCTACTGAGCATGTGTTCTGGAAACTTCAGGTCCTTTCATTCTTACAGGGCACTCAGGAGAATCTTCTTTTCTAGCCAGTAGCCACAGTTTACAACTCCGTGCCTTAACGTTATGGTGGGGTGAAGTTCAGTTTCCATAGATGAAACATATTTGGAAAACTGAGATGGAGATGGAGCCCCGTTCATCTCACCCCTCGTTCTCCACTTCTGAGTGTTAGACAATAAAAATGACAAAAGAGACAAGAAAGGAAACGTACGTATTATGTGATGTGATTAACTTTGCGCTCTGACTCAATTGAAGCTTCCTTTGAATGCACGGTAAGAGAATCTTTCCTTGCAGTAATTAAAAAGAAATCAACTCAAAACTTTTACATACTGTGAATTGTTCATAAACTTTCTGGTGTAACTACAGGCTAATATAAACAGCTCATACATTTATGTAGGAGAGCTAAACCGGACACATGGACTCCAACATCCTAATGTAATTCACAGTTTAAAAGGAATGATCATGGGCTGGAGTGAGGTTTAGCAAGGGAAGGCACCTGCTACCAAGCCTGGCAACCTGAGTCTGATCTCCGGAACCAGCATGGCAGCAGGAGAGAACTGGCTCCCGCAAGCCACCCTCCGGCTCTTGGCATATGTACGCCGTGGCACGCGCATGCACACACACTGTACAGAAACACATGCAAAACAATAAAGGGAACGATCGACCACATACCACACCGAAGCTGTAGATGTCAGATTTGGGTGTTATTTCTCCTCGCAAAGCTTCGGGTGCCATATAAGCCGTTGTGCCCACGATGCGGCTGGTCATGACTGTCTGGGTAAACTTTGCAGAAGCCCGGGCGAGCCCAAAGTCAGATATTTTGGCAGTAAAGTCTTTGTCTAGTAAGATATTTGCACTGGGAAAAAAAAATTAAATTTGAAGGAAGAAAACATTTTTCTTGCCTCTGAGGTCAAATAGGTTCTTAGAAAGAGGTGTATGTGTATATATACATACATACACACACACACACACACTTGTAATATAGATGAATTAGTTACATTGTGTGTTGTTTTATAGATGCAGCATAGAAGACTGAAATGTGTTTAGGTCAGTCAGTTATTCAGATGACAGCAAGAGAGAAATGGCCATTTCCTTTTCTTTTCTGTATCTTGAAGAGAGATGTTTAAGGGAATGAAAGCATAATAACATTTCCCCTTAAGGGAGGGCACAGTTTTAGTACAGCCTTCCAAAGGAGCTTTCCTTAAAAAAAATGTTTTTTTAATGGTGCTGGTGAGTAACTCCAGAGCTTCACTCAGGGGGTGGAGGGGGAAAGGTAACAGCCTTCCTACTGGTCTATATCCTCAGGCCAAAAGCACTGTTCTTTGGAAGAAATTCGGATTTTCTAATGGGGTATATCTGCATACCTTCCGTGTAACAGGGCAGTTCAGTCTTGTCCGCGGTGTGTAGAGTCATACCACGCTCGGGGGCACGGCAGTCCCTACAGTCACCAGCCATTTCCATGTGCCGTGCTGACATTCTGTGTCCTTTCAGCCACACTGAGAGACCTCACGGGCTGTCTTAGCCTAAGCTCTACTGAGCTCAGGGGGACTCAGAAGCCACGGCTCAACCTTGTTTGGTAATGCCTCTGCCTCCGCTCCTGCTCCCCCTGTCCCTAGTGAGTACCCCTGCATCCCAAAGTTCTCTGGGATTAGTTTCTAGAAATGAGAACATGAGGTATTTGTCTTTCTGTGTCGGGGTTTGAAATGAGTCAAAGTCACTTTAGCTCCTTTCCTAACACGATTTAATACATTTAGAAAGAAATTTCCAACCAAACCTCAGCAATTTTTATTTCTTTCACCTGTCCTTCCTGGAAATATATATATATATGTATAATTTGAGACAGGGTCTGAGTATGTAGCTCTGGCTGTTCTGGAACTATGTAGACCAGGCTGACCTTGAACTCACAGAGAGTTTTGGATTAAAGGTGTGTGCTGCCCTGCAGGGCTGTACTCCTAGGAATCTTAAAGAAATATCATGCCCAGCTAAAAGATCTTCATCCATTTATCATATGCATTCATGTGTATGTATTTTCTTACTGAGAGCTCCTACAGTTTACGGTATTTAAGCTGAATGCTTAACCCAAGGGCCAAAAAACAAAAACAAAAACAAAAAACAATCACAGGTCTTATTTGTGACAAAGGCATATGAATAATTTTTAAAAACCAATGAGGATCACATGATGGTAATATTCGGTACGAAATGCTGAGAGAATAACTGTGTGTAGGTGAAAGGAGGGATCTCAAGAGCAGTTGAGAAGCATGCTTGGTCTTAAAGAGTGATTAGAAGTGGATAGTACTGAGAGGGAAGAAAGACATATGGCAGGCACATGGATGAACAAGGTGGTGAGAGCGTAAGGCGAATACAGTACACACGACCACTCGTGTCCATGGAACGCAGAGAGAATTTGGACTTGATCCTTGGGCACCAGGACACCATTCAGGTCTCAGAATGGGCGACTGATGTTATCAAACCTGCCTTTTTGGACCTTAGGCTGGCACTGTGGTAGTGAACAGCTGAGATCTAGTACAAACTGGTTTTTATGGAGTAGGAGGGCTTGAAATAAAGCTGATAGAAGTTAACACATGTTAGGTAGAAAGAAGACTGGGGGTAAGTGGGAAGTGCAAATTTTCAGGCACATCCAATAAACCTGTGCAAAGGCATGGCATAGAATACACAGGAAGAACAGAAGACAGCGAGCAAAATCCCAGCACATAAGACACAGAGACTGACCAGTCTCTGAACCAGCCCCCTCCTCCGTGTGGCTCGGTGCATTCCCCATGACTGTAGTTTAAGAACTGTCTTGTTTTTCTCTATTGCATCCTTTTCCTTTTAGGCCCTTTTCATAGTCTTGGTAATTTCAAGGGTTTCCTAAATGACATCTGTTTTCAGATGTCACACTTCAGTATCAAAATATCACAAACAGATTATTTCTATTCTATTCCCAGTTTTCTGGCTCCCACTCTCTCCTCTATACGACCTGACTTCTAACTCAATTCCTAGATGGAAATAGCTCCCCATAAAGTCGTAACTGACCTGGATGGTATTAATCCAATGGGTTAAGTTGACTTCTGACCACCCCTCTTGGCAAACTTTCTTTACTCGATTTTAAAGACATTACAATCCATGTATAGGCTTTCATCTACTTATGTGTTTCTATAGTTTACTAGATGTCTTTTGGGGACTGTCCCCTTTTGTTTGGCTATGTCTTAGGGATCCTTGGGATTTAATCCTGGGCCCTTATGCTATATATTTCCGTAATTAAATGATAACTCCTTAAGCATCATGTACATGCAAGTGCTATACACATTTATGTACTCAGCTGAGACTTCTACCTGTAAATCTATGTCATACTGCCTGCTTAGCCTCTCCACTTCCCTGTCTTAAAAGAATTTCAAACACATAACGTACACCTCTTCTAAGCCCACTCCAACCTGGACCTTTTCCAGTCCTTTTTATATAAGTGAGTCATGTCACAGTCATTCCCAGAGCGCAACTGTGAGTGTTGTAAGTTCAAAGGCTATTACTGATACTCCTTCTTTCTGAACCCTCTACAAGCTAAGATATAAACATATCTTGCCACCTTAATCACTTGTATCTGCTTGCTTCTGCTCATATGAACTATGTCTACCAAGATGTCTGCAGCAATCTATTAATTACCCCTGATTTTAAACTGCTCTCTATGCTAGACTCAAAGTGATTCACAAAACTTGAATATGATGCTGTAGTCCAGTAGTTCTCAACCTGTATGGTGCGACCCCTATGGGGTCAAACGACCCTTTTAGAGGAGCCGAATATCAGATATTCTACATATCAAATATTATAACTAATTATGAAGTAGCAACGAAAATAACTTTATAGTTGGGGTCACTACAACATGAGGTACTGTATTTATTAAAGGGTTGCAGCATTAGGAAGGCTGAGAGCGACTGGCATAGTTTTATAACTTTCAACAGCATCTTATTACATTTATGATCAAACCCTTGTCTTTACCGGGCCCCATAGGACTTGATTGCCTGCTCATCTATTTAATTTCTCTCATGTCTCCTACCCCTCACTTTCTACACATCAGTCACACTGTAATCATTTCACTTCCTGTAATTCATCATGATGTCATATTCCCTCTTTTTTTTTAAAAAAAGATTTATTTATTTTTTGCATGAGTGTTATCTGCATGTACACCTTTATGCCAGAAGAGGGCATCAGATCCCACTAGAGATGATTGTGAGCTACGTGTGGTTGCTGGAAATTGAACTCAGGTCCTCTGGAAGAGCAGCCCATGCTTTTAACCACTGAGCCATCTCTCCAGCCCCCTCATGTTCTCTCTTAACATTCACCTTATAGGCTTATGCTTTCTAGAATATTTTCCTCATCTTCTATACAGCTACCCTCAAACTGCTTCCTTATTTCCAGCTCATTGTTCAAGTCTCAGCTTAAACATTGTCTTTTAAAATCCTTTATAGTGATACTGACCACTATAATTAAACACTAAAACTCTGCTGTTTTGTGATTCTCTGACTGGTGTTGAGCTCTGCTTTTGAGCTACATCTGTCAACCACATCATGTACAATATCTAGCATATAGCAGGTAAATACTTAATGAGGTAAATAACACATGAGCGGAGAGGGCTGAAAACTATCCATGGAGGACGAAGGTGATTCAGGAGAGATCAGTGATCCAAAAACCAAGAACGAACCTAATCTCCCCAAGGAGAATAGGTCAGAAGGCTTGGCACAGTGGAGATTATAGGTGTGTGCAGTGCAGAGAGCGTTCCAGTGACAGGGACAGTCCGGCCACTGTCCGTTCAGACACACGGGCAGAGTCACTGAGAAGAGCGACAGAAAACTGTGCTTTAAAGATGGCTTTCAAAAGCTTCTTCAGAGGAGGCTTACCTTTTAATATCCCTATGAATATGGTGGTTTTCGTGTAGAAAACTGATGCCATCAGCTGCACCCTGAGCAATCTTGCATCGCATGTGCCAAGAAAGTGGCGGAGTGCCATCCTTATGAAGAGACAAACCGGATTTAAAACAATGGTTTAGGTGAAAACAAAAAAAAAATCCATAGAAAACCCGTAACAGTATTCTTTGTAGTCACGTTTGTGTCACTGACTGTATCACTAAGAATTTTGGGTTACAATTTCTAAAGCTCACAAAAAATAATCTCCAGTAAGATTAAGTGGACTCTGTACTCTTTACTTGAAAGTAAAAATATGTAAGAAGATCTTCAACGTTTACTTCACTGATGCCTTTGCATTCTGAATTTGTAATACCTGTCAACACATAAGCTGCATCGTTTTACAGAACGGGAAAACAGTAAGTTTAATGTGGTTTAAGTGATCCCGACCAAATGTGAACATCAGCAATCCACCGTAGACACGGGAAGGGAGACAGTCTGGTGACGGGTGTCTTACCAGGCAGGACAGTCTGTCCAGCAAGGAACCATTGGGCATGTAAGCATACACTAAGCACAGGTCATCACTGTCACTTGAGAAGCCAAGCAGCTCTACCAGGTTTTCGTGCTGACACCTGTGCAAGTGAGGGAGGGAACATGCAAAATTGTTATAATAAATCTTTCCCGGAGTTACTCCGTGTAGGAGTTCTAGCAGAAAGATCAAAGAGATAAACTGCATATGTAAATGTGTGTATGTAATATGTAATATACATAGCGTATGTAATATGACAGATGTTCCTAACATGCTAACATGCTCATTGAAATTGTTCATTCTTTTCTGTGAAAGGGTCTTCCGGTTTCAGTAATCCTGAGCCACAGCAGGAGCGAACCTCTCCCGAGTCTGTAGCCACATTTGATCAGATCAAAGGAACCCGAGACAGGTTAGTTCAGGGCGAGGCTGGTGCTCATCTTCATTCCGTGCATTTCCAAGATCTGGAAACTTAGAGCCGGGACAAATCCTCTAACATGACAAAACTCTAACCCACCCCAGGCTTTACAGGAACGACCTTCAGTCACATCTGACTTTCATATTTACGGTCCTTAACCGCATGCATGCTTGTCTACCATCTGAGCGTTGTGTACACTTGAGAGAAATGAGTACACTAGCCACAGACTAACAAAGGTGCGGGCCTCCACTGAAAGCGCAGTCCTGCCCCCTCCTGGACCGGTGACGCATGGCACATTGACAACCTCAGCCTCAGGGTTTCCCTGCAGACAGAACATGGTACTGACATCACAGTACCACACAATGTGGATGCTGTGATAATTTATAAATAGCTGTGAGATCCCGGAAGCACACACAGCACCTGAGAGATGCTCCGTTCAGGGTTTATTAATTTGTTCATTCCATGCCATCTAGAACTCTGCATTACCCTTGAGTAAAATCAGACTTCTGATGTCAGAAATACTCTGAGAAGTGTCAGTTGAATCGATAAATCCTCCATTTTCACCAAATTTGCATATTTTAGACACAAGTAGGTAATGTTGATCGAATTTCTACTATCTATAAAGCAGGTGGAGGCTCACCTGTTTTGTTTCATCAACCTTCACAACATGTTATCATTTTTTACTCCCTCATGGGTAGAGATAAGAAATTTGGACTAGGTCATTCTGGTAGTAAGGTCCAGAAACTGACACTTAAAAAATTATAACACTAGAGGCTGGGGATGTAGTGCAATCCACAAGTGTGTGACCACCACGTGTAGCTTTAGGTGGTGCTGGGGATAAACCCCAGAGCCTTGTTTGTGACGGACATTCCACTGCCTGGGCCACAAGTTACTTTTAGAACTGGACAATGGAGGTAGAGATGAGGAGGTCAAATCTGAGGAGCGCTTGGTCTGTTGTTTCCATGTGCATCGTTTTTACTGTACACGAGTTACTCTGGGTCTATTAGCTATTTTAGGAGGGTAAATAAGTGGAGTGGGTGATGGAAAGCAATGGCCTCATGGCGTTGGGTTAATGACTTCCTTAGGATTCAGATCAAAAGCTCTGGAATTAGCTACATCTGGACCAGAACCCATCCCTAATACTTGATGGCGATGTGACCTTGGGCAAATTATTTCACACTTCTAAATCTTGTGTTTTTTTTTTTTTTTTTTTTTTTTTTTAATAAAGGAGGTGGTACTCATTGTTCTCAGAATTAAATGAGTCCATGAACTGTAAGCAGATAATGTTGTGTATGGCATACTATATATACTCAAATACCAGTCACTGGAATTACCACATTTGCTGATTTGGTTCTCCTTCCCTTCCTTATGGAGCCCATCAATACAGTCTCAGTATCTTTGTATATAGTATTTCCTCACACTCCTCTGAATTTTAACTTCTCCGAGGGTCTGTTATTTTATAAATTGTTTTTGTTTTTATTATTTATTTAATTTTTTGAGACAGAGTCTTCCTTTATAGCTCAGGCTGTCTTGGACCTTGCGATGTAGCACAGGCTGCCCTTGAATTCACAACCTCCTACCTTGACCTCCCAAGTACTGGGATTACAGGAGTGTACCAACATCATGCTTGGATTTAGAAATTGTTTGTTTTATTTTGTTTTTTAAGTAGCTACTGCTGAACTGTCAGGAATTCTGGCAATAGAAAACCTGATCATGGAAAACACGTCGAATCCTCTGTAACGTTGCTGTGATGTAGAGTACTGACTACTTTTAATCTGCAGGCATGAGTGTATGTGATCATCTAGTTGGAGAACCGATGGTGCTAGTCTCAACCCTGTATCTTTACACCCCCGAATCTGCACACTTGGGTGTGAAACCAGGTCCCCTTCCTTGCCCTGTGCCATGTTCTCACCCCATGCCACACCGGCAGATCGACACTTACTTCGCCATTACTTTAATTTCCTGGTCAAACTGTTGCTTCAGATCTTCACTACTGATTTCAACCATCTGTGAAAATAAAAATACATATTGTGACATGATACAATTACCCTGTGGCTCCTGAAGCTGGCAGGGGACCCAGGGAAGAGTGCCCTGCTGATCTGCTTACTTTACAATCACATGGTAAGCCAGATCTGGTGATGCGGGGTTGTAGTCCCAGATAAGTGGGAGACTGAGGCTGGAGGACATCAAGTTCGAGGCCTGCCTGGCTTCCAGAGTGAGTTCAAGGGCGGCCAGTGCAGCTTGACCTTTGCTCCAGTGAGACATTAAGGGGGCAGGGATGTAGCTCGGTGGTAAAGTGCTGGCCTAACATAAGCAAGGCCCTGGGTTCACTAACAGTACAGTAAAATGAATTAAAAAATAATGTCTTGCTATCGTCTGCATGGCTGGGTCCTGGCAATCCGACAGGGAGCGACAGGAGATTAAGACAGACAGACAGAAAGACAAAAGTAACACAAAGCTGGGATCAAGTGAGATGGAGTCAGACCAGCCACCCAGAGACTCGGTGTGTTTATTGTGTACAGCATGTCCTAGCATGCCAGTGAGCTAATCTTGGTAGGGGGCTTCTCTGTAGGGGAGGAGCCTCAGGCTGGAGTCACCTGGGATGAGAAAACAGAGGTCGAGACCCTTTACACGTACCAGCTTTGGCTAAAGGCCAGCCATTTGTCAGCAGCCACACTCGGACCACAGGAGAGCCCGAGGCACTGAGGTCTTTGACATGGCCATTCTCAGGTCATGAATGCTCATTCACACAGGGGTACACATGCTCTCCACAAAGACCTTACTCTCTTTGTTTTATAGAATTAGTGACATCTAGAAATACATGTGATTGCCCTAGGTCCATGTTGTTTTGGAGAAAGGAAAAAAAAAATATATATATATATAAACCTTTCTGGGTTGTGGTAGGAACAAAATGAAATGTAGAACTTCACCACAGGGGAAACTTTAAAGAAGAATTCTGTGTAACAAAATGAAAGCAAATATGAATAGAAAAATAATCGAATCCTAGGAAAGCACCTGCAGCCTCCATGACAAGGGATGCCCCTGGTACATACATGCACAGGACATGCTCATCTGAAAGATTAATGATTGATATTATAATTAATCAATAGTTAAAGGTTAAAAAAAACCTATAGAAATAGGGGGAAAGGACAGGCAAGGAAACTTCTTTTTCATAAAGTGCATTTAAAAAAAAATATTGTTTTTGCTGGGCGTTGTGGCACACACCTTTAATCCCAGCACTTGGGAGGCAGAGGCAGGTGAGTTTGAGGCTAGCCTGGTCTACATAGTGAGATCCAGGATAGCCAGGACTACATAGAGAGTCCCCGTTTCCATATATATATATATAAAATATTATTTTTAAAATTACATTTATTGTGTGTGTGTGTGTGTGTGTGTGTGTGTGTGTGTGTGTGCGCGCGCGCCACAGTGAACATGTGGAGGTCAGAGGACAATGTGTAGGAGTCAGTTCTCTTCTTTACCAAGTGGGTCCCCGGAATTAAACTCAGATTATCAGGCTTGGTGGCAAGCACCTTTACCTACAGAGCCATCTCATTGGCACCTAAATGATACTTTTAAATGAGACAGGCCATACAAAAGTATCCAGATGACATTTTCTTAGTATTTTATCTGTTGAGGAATATTACTTTTAAGGTGTGTTATGTTTGTTTATGCTTTGGAATATTTGCTTAATGATGCAATGTGGTGATATACTGTTTGTAAAGAAATAAAGCTTGCCTGAAGATTGGAGGACAGAGCCAGCCAGAGTTCGCCATAGAGGTCAGGCAGTGGTGGCACACACCTTTAATCCCAGTACTTGGGAGTCACAGGCCTTTAATCCCAGCACTAGGAAGGCCGACACAGGAAGTGATATGGCTGGGCAGAGAAAGGAATATAAGGCAGAAGGAGACAGGAGTTTGGAGCCCTTTTGGCTGAGGACACAGAGGCTTTTGGCTTGAGGATTCAGTAGTGGTGAGAAGTTTCTCTAGTGGCTCGTTCCTTTGTCTCTCTGATCTTTCAGCTTCTACCCTGATATCTGGCTCTGGGTTTTTATTAGAAGACCATTTAGGATTTGTGTAACAATGCAAAGATGTGTTGCATTCATTTATGTTGCATTTGTTTAACCCTGTGAAGTTGTTTTACTGTGCCTGTCTAAAACACCTGATAGTTTAATAAAGAGCTGAATGGCCAATAGCAAGGCAAGAGAAAAGATAGGTGGGGTTGGCAGGCAGAGAGAATATATAGAAGGAGAAATCTGGGAGAGGAGGGATCTAGGAGAGAAAGAAGGAGGACATCAGGGGCCAGGCACCCAGCAATACAGCAAGCAATGGAGTAAGAAAGAAAGGTATACAGACACAGAGAAAGGTAAAAGCCCAGAGGCAAAAGGTAGATGGGATAACTTAAGAAAAGCTGGCTGCAAACAAGCCAAGCTAAGGCCAGGCATTTATAAATAAGAATAAGCCTCTGTGTATTTATTTGGGAGCTGGGTGGCAGGCCCCCAAAAAGCAAAGAGCCAAAAGAGAAAAAGAATAAAAAAAAAAAAAGCAACTAACCACACTTATCTTTAATCTAAATTATGTAAGCGGCGTTGTGGTGCAAGGCTTCTTAACTTTATCTTGTGAATCTACCACCATTACAAACATGATTCTATTATATCTGTGTCCGTAAACGCTTTTCTAGAGAGAGTTCTTCACAGCCCTCAGTAGGTTCTTACATGATAAGAGAGGCGAAGTTAGGATGGGGTCCACTTAAAGGGAGCAGGTGCTGAGATGATAAATCCGTGAATGTTAACTGACAGCCTGTTCCAACAGGAGGAAGGGGGACAGCTTACCGCTCCAAGCTTCTTCACCGCCACGGTCCTGTTGTTCACGCAGCCTTTGTACACCACTCCGAAGCCTCCCTCTCCCATTCTGCTGCCGCCGAGAGAAACAGGCCGTTCGTCAAAGTTATTTGTGATACTTTTCAGTTCATAAAATGAAAAACTGTGAAAACCTATCACGTCGACAAAACAAGGAAGAGGCGCTTACACAAAGGAATGTGGCTTTAGTAACTGATACTTTCTCAATTTGAAGATCACACACACACACACACACACACACACACACACACACACACACACAATCTTTTTTATGACAATTAGACTAGGTGATTCTGTACCAAACACTCTACCTCCACCCAAAATACTTATTTGGCTAAGTTCTGTCTACTCCTCCAAAACTCTAGTCACATTTAAAAATTATTATTTTTTATACGGTTAGTTTTGAGACAGGATATCATGCAGATCAGGCTACCCTTGTATTTGTTATTCAGCTGAAGCTGGCCTCAAACTCCTGACCATCCTGCCTCTGCCTTCCAAGTATCGGGAGCATAGGTGTACAGCACCACCCTGACTTGCTTTCTTTCTTGGTTTTTGTGACTGTTTGCATGTCCCAATTACTTCAATATGGTGATATTTCATTTGTGCTGAAATGTGATTTTATTTGTAGATTAATAAAGTTGCCTGGGGGTCAGTGCTAATAGCAAGCCATAGCAGAAGCCGGCGGTGGTGGCACATACCCTTAATCTAATCACATGGCAGGCAGAGTCTGTGTGTTCAAGGACATAGGCAGCTTGGAGACACACGCCTTTAATCTCAATAATAACCATGGAGACCTGGAGGTATAGACAGGCAGTGACGAGGAGGTCATGTGGTTGGGTTTACAACCAATGAGAAGGCAGAACAGAAAGTCAATAAAAAGACAGGCACACAGGAAGTAGGTCTCTTTCTCAGGGGAAGGGCGGCAGCGGCAGCGTGTGATAAGAAGGCAGTTTTAGTCTCAGCTCTTAGCTATTGCTCTGACCTCTTGAACTTTTAACTCTACATTTGGCTCTGTGTTTATTTAATAAGACCATTACATCTACACTTCAAGTCACCAAGAGAACTGGTAACTGATGCCACGACGATGGTACCTTTTATTTATGTATTTTTAAAAAAATGTGCATTGGTGTTTTGCCTGCGTGCATCTGTGTGAAGGAATGGGATCCCCAGGAACTGGAGTTACAGACAGTTGTGAGCTGTCATGTGGGTGCTGGGAATTGAACTTGGGTCCTCTGGAAGAGCAGCCAGTGCTCTTAACCGCTGAGCCATCCCTCCAGCCCCATGACGATGGTACTTAATAAATTTAAAGGAAAACCAATGTCCAAGCGCTCTGCCCACAGCACAAGCAGGAGAGGTTTCCTTTCCATCACCACAATGGCAAACCCACCAGTGGGAAAGAGTAGGCGGCGTTACTTACGAGTATCCGTATCGCTGAATTCCAGACTCTTCTCGGCGGGGCTGGAGGAGTCGGGCTGCCCACAGCTCTGTTCTAGCCTCGGCACAGGCATTACAGGTGTGCTGTCTTTTTCACAGCAAGGCCTGTGTGTCTGTTCCACTGTTGCTGTTTCTCTAGGAGGTACACAGCTGACAGTTTGGGGGACAGCATCTGCCGAACAAGAAGACAAAGTTAGTCTCCGTGTAAGAGAAAGGTCTTTGTGTAAAAAATCAGTGGGGTGGTTTCAATGAAAATGACCCCCCCTAGGATCATAAGGAGTGGGACGATTAGGAGGTGCAGCCTTGTTGGGGGAAGCGTGTCACTGGGAGAGGGCTTTAAGGTTCTCAGATGCTCAAACCAGGCCCAGTGTCTCTCTCTTCCTGGTGCCTGGCGATTGGGATGTAGGACTCTCAGCTCCCTCTCCAGCACCACGTCTGCCTGTGTGTTGCCATGCTTCCCACCATGAGGATAACGGACTAAACCTCTGAACTGTAAGCCAGCCCCAGTAAAATGTTAAATGTTTTTCTTTATAAGAGTTGCCGTACTCATGGTGTCTCTTCACAGCAACAGTAACCCTAACCAAGACAACCAGAAACTCACATGCAGCTTCTAGATGTTGGCCCTACATCCTCACCAAACACAGGAAGACACCCGGTAAGATGCTGTCCGTTGTGATAAAGATGAATAGACCGAGTGATAAGTGTTTACGAAAGTGGTTCAGAACCATTAGGAAATTAGGAAACACTGCAGTTATTTAAGAATAAAGAACCAGCTGGCATGGTGGTGCCCACCAGTAATCCCAGCACTTTGAAGGTGGAGGCAGGAGGACCAAGTTCAACTCTGGTCTTGACTACATAGTAAGTTCAAGGTCAGTCTGGGCTACATGAGATTCTACCTCAAAAACAAACAACTGAACACACACACACACACACACACACACACACACACACACACACACACGGAGTATGTATGGGGAAACAGGACCAAAAACATTTTAGACATTGAACTCAGTGTTATGAGTCCTTTTAAGGTGTGGTGCTGGGCGGTGGTGGCACACACTTTAATCCCAGCACCCAGGAGGAAGAGGCAGGCGGATCTTTGTTGAGTTCGAGGCGAGTCTGCTGTACAGAGTGAGTTCCAGGACAGCCAGGGCTACATAGAAAAACCCTTGACAAACCAAAACCAAAACCAATAAACACCCCCAAAAGAAGGCGTGGCATGGAGTCCAGGAATCTACGTGTTCAACGAGATCTTTCTGAGATTCTTTACACAGTAAAGGTTGAGACCCCCTAGTGTATGAAAGGGAGAAGGGAAGTGGGTTAATGAGGAGACAGAACAATAGTAACAATAGTAACACAGGGGAATGCAGAGTAACGAAGCCATGATGAGTCCCGTCAAGGTGAAGCCAAATGGGGGTCTAGAGGGAGACATCACTCAAGAGAATAAATTCGTACAGGATACATTCTTCATTCCTCTAAATAAACCCCCCTGGCACAAAACTACCTGACTCTGAGGGGGGGCTAGACTCCATCCCCAAGCTTATAGCAATTTAGCAGCAGAGTCCAGAGCACTAGGCATCTAGAGTGGATGAAAGCTGGGGAGAGCTGAAAGAATGCAGGACTCAAATGTCAGGTTCGTTCATTCCACCGGAGAGTAAAAAGAAGAATAAACACTGGTATTCCTGCCATGCGTCACTTCAGCCAGCTGCTGACGCTCTGGCCACGCCCACTTTACCCGGCAGCAGGAGAGTAGCGGGGGCAAAGAGTTCAATCTGGACCAGAAGATCCACAAGGTCCCCGACTGTGCAGTTGGTGGTACCCCAGTCAAACAGCAGCTCACAAGTGGGGCTTTTTCCAGTCTGGAGTAACGCCTCGAATCTCCTGAAAAGCAAGAAACAAACCAGTACACAAGGAGAGTTCATAGGAAAATAGGCACTGATCTCCACCCCACTCCCGCATCCCCTTCTGTCCGGATCTCTGGACCTGAGGACAGAAAAGCAATGGGGGTGTGAGGGAACCTGTAAGGACCCCGACTAGGAGAAAGACACTCAGCAGAAAGGGGACCAAAGAGGATGATAAGTTAACCACTGGGGCGGGAGAGATGCTCAGTGGTTGAGAACACTGGCTGCCCTTCCAGAGGACCAGGGTTTGGTTCCCAGCATCCTCAGGGCAGTTCACAACCACCTGTATTTCCAGTTCTCTTGGTTCTAAAACAATCTTCTGCCCTCTACTGGCATGGGCATGCATGTGGTGAAAATACATACATGTAGGCAAAACATGCACACACAACAGGATAAAATGAAGAACTCTTAAAAAATGTAAGCTGACTTTTGGGGCAGAGGAGACAGCTCAGTCGTGAAGTGCTCGCTGTTGCGAGTGTGAAGACTGATGACCCTGAGATCAGATTCCCCAGCATCCCGGCAAAGGGCCAGTGCAGGGCACCTGCTCTAATACTGGGCTGGATAGGCAGGGATGGGTGGATCCCTCATGCCCACTGTTTACTTAGTCTAGATGAATCTGCAAGCTCCAGGCTCTGTGAGATACCCTGTCTCAAAAAACAAGATGGAGCGAGAGTGAGCAAGGCACCTCATGTTGACCTCTGGCCTCCACAAGCACGCTCACTTAACACGCACACACAAACACATACACGCATATACTGCTCAAACCCACCCAGTTAATATTAGTTATTAAATATACCCTGAATGTTTAATCAGAGAGCTACAGGACATCTCTAGAGAGACAACTGAGAATGTTAGCATGAGACTGCTAGACCGTACTGGGTGGAGTAGCTAGCTGTGACCACACAGCACACTCAAAATGTACCCAAGTTTAGATCCAAATTCTGAGCTCTTCTGACCAAAGCGTACACTTTTAAATCACTTAGCTATATCGCAAGGTCTACCTACACCTTGCATGACACATTCAGTCTTCTAGCTATATACTTTTAAATGAATAAGGGCTGCTTCATGAAGCAGAATGCACCTAGGCTGTGATCTTAGCTATATTTAGTCAAATAGAAAGGAAAACATCTTTTTCTTCATTTCATTTCTTTAAAATTAAAAATTAGCTTTAGAAAGTAATACTGAAAACTTAACCAAAACAGCCCATTCTGTTTTTCTTCCAAAGGTTTTCTTCGGAAACATTTCAAACTTAACAAAAACTTTGAAAGAATAACATAGTGAACAACAACTTAACCTCCATCTAGATTTATCAGTTGGCCAACTGGCAGCCTCTGCCCACATCTGTGCTCTTCTGAATGCTCTTTCCTGCTGTGGGATAATGCTCTTGTACACTGGTTTAATAAACACTGATTGGCCAGTAGCCGGGCAGGAAGTATAGGTGGGGCGAGCAGACTAAAGGAGTGCTGGGAAGAGGAAGAGCAGAGTCAGGAGTCTCCAGCCAGACACAGAGGAGGCAAGATGACAAAGCAGAACTGAGAAAAGGTACCAAGCCATGTGGCTAAACATAGATAAGAATTATGGGTTAATTTAAATGTAAGAGCTAGTCAGTAACAAGCCTAAGCTAATGGCTGAGCAGTTATAAATAATATTAAGCCTCTGTGTGATTATTTTATAATAGGCTGTGGGTGAGAGATTTGTCCTGACTGCGGGCCAGGCGGGACACAGGAAATCTTCTGGCTACATTTTCCACCTCTCTCTCTGTGGCGTACCTACAGTGTAGGTCAGGTATCTTGTCTGTGTCTCACTGTCTCCATTTACAGGACTACTTTTTAATGAGTAATTTCAATCACGAGTAACAGTTCTGGTAAGAACCACACAGGAGGTAATGTGTTCTTTTTGCTACATCATATCCAGAGGCACAAAATGCAGTTTTGTGCCATGACTGGTGGCACTGTCTGATCATTTGGATAGGGGGATGTGGCTTCAGATTTCCTCACAACACAAGTACCCCTCTCTTGCTGGTGCGTACCTGTCATCCTGGCACTTAGCGGGTAGAGACGGGAGGATCAGGAGTCCAAGGCTAGCCTTACAAGTTTGAGGCCAGCCTTGGCTACACAAGACCGGGTCAGTAGAAAAAGTTAGTTTTCTCTTTCTTAATGCACAGAAAATTTGTGGACAAAACTCTTATGCTTTTGGGCCCCGATGAGCCTTGTGGGAACCAGTCTTCACTGGCGGCTGTACATTGCTAACATCATACATTTTTTTATTCTGACAGCTGGTGGCACTGTTTGGTAGGGAAGACCCCCTTCTCTCTGGAATGACAGCTGCAATAACCCCCTCCCATTTTTAATGGAAATATCAACAAACTATCCTTGGGAATTTGGTTTCCAAGTTTGAAAGCTGAGCTTCTCCCTCGTACTTTATGATGTTGGCCTTCACGTGAGCAGACATTTGCAGGAAGAATAATTTGGGAGCCTAGCTTTAGAGTCTTTACCAGATTGATTAAAAACAAACTAAACAAACAAACAAAAAAAACCCAATAATTTATTTTCTTCCTTCTTACAAAATTACAAAATTTGTAAGACAAATTTTGACATTAAGTTTTTAACTTCAAAATACAGCACAAAATTTAAGCCTGTATTTGTATTTTCTACTAAATCAAGCAGAGATGAGAAGAGAGAGGCAAATATGTTAGACGGTGTGTATGCCTGTATCCTTCTTGTGATGGGAAGGATTTAAAAAGAAAAATAAACGCCATACTACCTTATATGAAATTGATTGTATCTATCATCCCCAGATGGCTTTTTAATAGCCACTGCTAATTTCTTCCATCCTTCCTGAGGATCGATAAAATCCGACAGCTTCCGAATGATTCCGACATTGAGGCTGCGAACGTACGTGGATGGTGTCAGAGGCTTGTTCATCTTCTACCTGAAATATGAAAAATTCTCATTAGAACTTTACAGCAGGTCGGCTGGACGGTGGTGTCTCACACCTTCAGTCCCAGCATTTGGGAGGCAGAGGCAGGCAGATCTCTGAGTTCAAGGCCAGCCTGGTCTACAGAGTGAGTTCTAGGACAGCCAGGGACATACAGAGAAACCCTGTCATGAAAAACAAAAACAAAAACCAAACAAACAAATTTGAAAACCCCCACAACTTTACAACAGTTTCAGAGACAGCTTCTAGAAGCTGCATGCCATGCATTGCTATCCTGCATGAGATGCTGGCAAGTGACCATCTGAACACAGAGCAACTCTCATGGCAACCCATCTCCTACTGAAAGGTGTTTGTCTAATCACCCTCTAGGATTATTCTCCCCACTCCCCAAACCAACACTGGAAAACTTCATTCTGACACTGGAATTTTCCAGGTGAAACTTATAAAAAGCAAGTTGTTTACTAGAAAGAGACCTGGGAGCATGTTCAGGAATCAAATCTATAAAATGAATAGAAGAGACTTAGCTCTGAATTTAAAGTATTTTTTTTCAATTAGTACCTACTTACTAGTAATTTGTTTTTGTTTTTGTGAGACAGGATTTCTCTGTGTAGCTTTGGAGCCTTTCCTGGAACTCACTCCGTAGCCCAGGCTGGCCTCGACCTCACAGAGATCCGCCTGCCTCTGCCTCCCGAGTGCTGGGACTAAAGGCGTGCGCCGCCGCCGCCGCCGCCGCCGCCGCCACCACCACCACCACCACCACCCGGCTACTTACTATTAAATGTTTAAAAAGATTTACTTATTTTATTGTTGTCTGTGTATGGGTATTTTGCCTGCATGTATGCATGTGCCCCATGTCCTGTCTGGTGCCTGCGGAGGTCAGAAGAGGGCACCAGATCTTCTGGATGTGGGGTTATTGATGACTGTGAGCCACCATGTGGGTGCTGAGAACTGAACCTGGGTCCCCTGCAAAAGCAGCAAGGGCTCTTAACAACTGAGCCACCACTGTTAAAATTACTGAGATCTACTGTTATAAGTTTTTATGCAACCATCTTTGGTAAAGGTTAAAAAAAAGCAAACTAATTTATACAGCATTAAAGACATATCCCGTCCACCTATTTTTCACGAAGTATACAAGAACCTCGAACAGTTTGGAGCCTGTGAGATCTGCATGACTTCTGTTTTCTGTATGGTGGCATCCATGGCCCCTCTCTGTGGCTACTCGCTTGATAGGGCCTTTATTTGATCGATCCTTGTTTCCCAGTGTTCCACCTCAGAGGCTGCAGCTAAGAGATACCTCACAGTGTTACTTGCCCTTGGAGCTGCTGAGCAAAGCCTTAGATTACTGAACAGACTGACGAGAACGTGCCTTTCCCTGGGGCCCCTCCAGCACTTACTTAAACCTTGACTTTTCTCTCCTTGTCTTTCATGGCCATTTCCTACTTTCACCTCTCTCTGTGGTTTCTCTGTCCCTCGTTCTCAACAAACAAAAATCCTTCCTTCCAATTCATCAAGAGAAATAGACTCATACTACTCTTTCAAGGATTTTCTTCCGTATGTTTTCATTTTTAAATGCAATTAGCCTTGGGAGTAAATAATATATTCAAATGGTGCAAAATATAAAAGCTATAAAACAGTAAAAAGTACATTTGTCTGATTGTAAGCTTCCATGCTAGTATTCATATCTCTCTGTATGGTAGGGGTTGGGGTTGAAATATCTCCCCAAAGCTCTTATTTTGAAAGCTTTGTCCCTAACATAGTAGTGTTCTGTGTTGGGAGGGGCGTGCATTTGGCAGGTGTTTGGATTGTGAAGGCTCTCCTATTATCAACCAATGTATTCATCCACTGATGGATTCATAGCTTTAATGGTATATTGGGAACTGGTGGTAACTTTACGAGGTAGGGCCTACCTAAATGTGCCCCTGATGAGCATGGACCCTATTCCCCTTCCTATCTCTTTTCTTTCCTCCCTCCTTCTCTCTGCCCCTCCCTACACCATGAGGTAGGCAGATTTGTTCCACTATGTGCTCTCTGCCATGATGTTCGCCCTCACCACAGACCTAGAAACAACTGATCACTTAACCTTACTAAACAATTGCTTACGATAATCTTGATCTGAAACATTTTCCTCTTTAACTTTGCCTCTTAATGTTCCCACAAGGTTGCAAAGTTATTACCTCCCAACTTATGTTTCCGATCTTTCTGATCTGTTGTGTTATTGCGGCTCCTTGGATGGATCATCCTCTGAGGCACCCTAACTGTGGTCCCTTCTACATCACTCATTTTTGTCGGCTTGAAGCAGTTGGAATCAGTGCTCCCAAACCCCCCAAACCAGTTTGGATTACCTCCAAAAAGGGAACTAATGGACCATTCAACTTATCCCTCTTTTTGCTACAATAGATATTGTTTCCAGGACTCGGAACTAAAACAGGTGGACTGCTGTGGAATAATCCTTTTGAACACTGTAAAAAATGTGTCGCACTCATTGTAAATATAAAGTTGAAAGGCTGATGGCTAGGCAGGATTTTTGGGGCAGAGAGAATGCTGGGGAGAAGAAGGGTAGAGTCAGAGGAGATGCCATGAGATGCACAGCAAGCAGGATGGGAAGTACACAGATGAGGTAAATGAGCCTCGGAGCAGCACATAGATTAATACAAATGGGTTACTTTAAGTTATAAGAACTAGCTAAAAACAAGCCTGAGCTATTGACCAAACATTTATAATTAATATTAAGCCTCTGTGTGGTTATTTGGGAGCAGCTGGCAGGATAGAAAAGCTACCCTACACTGGACTACATACAGCCCTCTTTGCATCAATTAACCTCTCTGTCCCACCCGATCTCAGAAAAACTTCAATAAATTTCAGATCAGCTTAACATCCTTCAGGACCAGATCGATTCCTTGGCTACTGAAATACTCCCAAATTAAAAAAGACCAGATCTGATTGCTAAGGATGGGATGTGTTTGTGCCTTCCCCTACGAGCAATGCTGCTTAGGCACAAACAAACCCTAACTGGTTTGAGATGGGGCCCAAAGACACTGGATCCAGACAAAAAACCAGCTACAAGTCTCCTCCTATGTAGAGGTTTTGGTTCCCTTCCACTCTGGCTCCTCTTCTCCATCACTCCTTTCCTCCTTATTATCCTCATACTCACATTTTTGCCCTGTTTTTTTTTTTTAATGTTTTACTTACTGAACATCACCTTATACCCAAACGAAAATGTTCCACATAAGCTCTCCCAATGACTCTCACCCTACAACAGCTCCCTTTGTCCCAGATACATCTGCAGAAAGACCTTTTAGATGCCATGGGCAACATCCATGTTTCTTATACACTGATTTACTTCAGTGGCAACTTAAAATGCTTTGGATATACTAAAATATATACTGTCATCCATTCACCAAAAAGGTGTCCTATTTGTGATTGATACTAATCCAGATGCCTGGAAATAAACCATTAAGAAAATTAGAGGGAAAAGGAGACAAGGACACACAGGAGTTTTATTCTAATGGAGGAAGAAGGTAGCAAGCGAAGAATGCGTTTCACAGTATGTTAAATGGTGTCTATGGTGGGTTGAATGAGAAGGCCCCCCTGAGTTTCCCTCATTTGAATACTTGGTTCCCCGGTGATGGCTGTTTGGGAGGATGAGGAAGTGTGACTGGAGGCAGGCTTTGAGGTTTCAAGACTTGGGCCATTTCCAGTGTGCTCTCTCTGCTTCCTGCTTGTGGTTCAAGATATGAGCTCTGAGCTGCTGCTCCATCCCATCCTGTCTGTCTGCCTGCAGGCTGCCATTCCCACTCTCCCACTGTGCTTGGGGTCGGCTCCATCCCTCCAAGCTAAGCTCAGCCTTGCCTTGGTCATGGTGTTTTGTCAAGCAGATAAGGCAGTGCCAGATGGAGAAGCAAGGGGCTGTGACTTTAAAAGGGTTAGTCACTAAGGGCCTCACGAGATCGTGATGGAAGACAGGGATGGGAACACTAATTAGCTGGGTGCCTGTTTGGATCGTTTCTGGGGAATATGAGTAGAAGGCACAGACGTTGAAGGTGCTTCTGAATGAAGAAAAGAAATAACAGGGAGGACATGACTGCGCCCAAAGGGTTGAGGAGAAAGGTTTATTACAGATATGAGGGAGAGCATAGGCAGAGGCAGAGACATCTGGGAGTGTCCAGAGTGAACATGGCCAAACTGAGCCTGGCCATGTGAGGAGAGATGGGGAGGGAGAGCAAGAGAGGAGCTGCCTACCAAAAGTGGCAGCCTGGGCTAGGAGACTGGCATAGCCCAAATGGCTGAGTTACATAGAGGCCAGAGAAGCTGGGGGGGCAGGAAGCTGCGTGGCTGGGTTGGTACCCAGTACCCACAGTTCAGGGTAGTGGACAAGGTATGCCAGGTACGGGAGGACCCTGTAAGAGCTGGGGACTGAAGGATGCTGGGAGAACCTGGTGGACAGCATCCACTTTGATACATTCTAGGCACCTCAGTTAGCTTTTTTGTTCTGGGTGTGAGACTTAACAGCTTCCACAGACATAAAGCAAGGAGCAGGTGAGATTATAGATGAGGGATTAGATTCCCAGGGCTTTGAATTGACTTGATTATCTTCTGAGTTGAGAGAAGAGACAGTCAGTGGAAGTTCCCAGAGGAGTGCAGATATTTCTATATTCATGCCGAAAGCGGAGGTTCCCCGGACAATTTGGTGTGCAGAGCAAGGACAAAGAAATAGGAAGAGGCGTCTGGAAGAGAACACCAAACATTTACGTGGGAGGTTCGAAAGGGCGCTAGTGTCCTGGTGCTGGATGTATTCTGCAGGGCAATCCACAGAAGTCGGCCGATGTAGAAAGGGAGAAGAGGGCACCAAGGTTTTCTGCTTGGGCCGGAAACAAGACTGAGACAAGACTGTAAGGTGCAAGTTTAGCCTGGGAAATCAGATCAGTCCGGAACATGTAGGTAGCAAAAACGTTTAGCATGAAAATAGAATAAAAGAAACCTGAGGTCTTTGACGCATATCTTGAAGGATTACTTTCAGACACGGAAAAGTCGGATTTTAAAAAATCTTCTGTTTGGGGGGCACTGTGTCCATTCCGAAAGTGACTAGAGCTTTCTCGCTCTCTTGGGCTTTGCTTTTTCTTGCTCATCTCCGGCTTCCAAGCTGTGCTGCGCTTACTTACCCACCTGTGGACGGACTGCCTGACAGCTTCCTACACTCCCCACCTCCAGCAAGCGAGACATCGGCGGACCATCAGCGCAGAGGCTACCTGCGGGGCTCCCCCACGCCTCTGCGGGGGGGGGGGTGCACCCACTTCCCGGTTCTGGGGTGAAGCGAGCCGGTCGCAAACCCGGCCCAGGATAAGAGGACTGCAGCGCGGTCCTGGCCTGAGATCAGCCTTCCTCGCGCGCGCGCTCGCTCCCTCGCTCGCACAACCTACTTCCTCTCTGACGTTCCTCGCTTCCTGAACCAGGCGACCGGCGCCTCGCCACGGTCCCGCGAGGACTCGGGAGGGGAGGACGCGCGGGGACACGAGGCGACTTGAGACCGTCTTGCGACCAGGTGATGAGGCTTCCCGGAGCGCCAGATCCGTGCGGGACAGCAGCTCCGGCTGTCCTGGGAGGCTGGGAGTGGAGGGGCGGGGCCAACCCGGAAGGCCCCGCCCTCATCGCCCCGCCCCGCCCCCTATTCCTCTAGCTGGCTCGGGGCGGCTCTCCACTCGGGGCAGGAACTCCACCAGTGGGAGCCTGTCCCTTTAAATGTCCCTGGAGGAGGCTGGGCCGGCGGAGGCTTCCGGGAATGCGCAGTGTGTCACCCGGGAGGGCCGCTTTCTTCCTCTGGGAAGCGAGGTAGAACCGGCTGAGTCTAGTGGGAGGCTGGGTTGCGCGTGGGTTTTGAGAGTGGCGGACCTGGGCGATCCGAAGCCCGTGGCCCCGACAGGGGCGACACGGACGGGGGTGGCGCGGGGCCCGGAGGGAGGAGGAAGGCGTGGCGGGCGCCGCGGGAGCTGGGTGCAGGGTGAGGATCTCCAGGGAGCCTCCCGCCCTTCTGCGGGGCCGGGTCCCTCCGCAGCCTGGGCTCGCCCGGAGGAACAGCCTGGGTTTGACCCAGGAACAGCCAGGGTTCGCCCTGCCAGCCTAGCCCACGCGCCGCGGTCCGCCGGCCTTTGCATTCCACCGCTTTACCAGCTGCTTGACTGGGGTGTCTTCGTCGCCGCGACGACCCCACGGCTACCCCAGAAAGCCTTCCTTTGATCTTTCCTTCCCTAGAATCCCTAGGGCTCCGGAGGGCTGTGGACTTGGTCACAGCTGACTGCTGAGTTTCATCAGTCACTTTAGAAACACCTCCACAAGGCAGATTCCAGCCTTTGACGGGCGCGTTCGGTATCATTACTTCAGTTGCATTCTCCAAAACGACCACCCTCCTCCCTCTCCCCACTGCTCTGTGTCCGGGCTTTCGCCCTCCCACATATTGCCTGTTTCATTGGTTCTTGCTTGTGGTATTTCTGCCCTATTTCTGTCTCTTGAACTATTTTCAGAGACGTAAATAGCAATTTATTATACCATTCTTGATCATCACAAACAGAAGTTAATCCTTCTTCCTCATCACTAGCTTTTACTGCGTTCTAGTTGTTTTTGTCCAATAACCAATATTGATTGCAGATCTGCTATGGTCACTTACTATGTGCTTGGTGTTCTTAATGTGGGCTAATCAGTTTTGAATAAGGTAGAATTCCTACTCATGTGGAATTGACACTAAGTTGAAGAAGATGGACAGAAAATAATAAAAGAATTTGCTATACAGAAAATTAAATTTGTGTGTTTGTGTGTGTGTGTGTGTGTGTGTGTGTGAAGGAAAATGGACTGCAGGTTGTGTGTGTGTGTGTGTGTGTGTGTGTGTGTGAAGGAAAATGGACTGCAGGTTCCCATAGATGAGATTATTGGTCAGTGAAAACCTCTAAGAACGTGAATCCTAAAAGACTGACTAGAAAGTTACCACAAAGGTAATGAGGAGAGCCAGTGTAACCGTGGTTAGAGGGTAATGGTATAAAGGCACATCACACGGCACAATAGACAGGGTGCAGAATCTCAGGGTAGATAGTTTAGACTTTGTTGTAAGTGTAACAATAGGGTTTTAAACACTTGTACAGTTTACTGTTTACTACAGTATTTTGGGTGTTTACCTTTTAATGCAGTATTTTGGGTGTTTACCTTTTAATACAGTATTTTGGGTGTTACACATAGTAGATAATAGTTGGCTAGACAGAAATAGTCAAAAGGCTGCCACCATGCCTGAGAATTTGGGAATTAGCCCTGTTGAAGAATGGTAAGATAGCAAATCAGATTTCTAAAGGCGGTAAAGTTTTTGGTGATGAGAAAGTAAGAATGATCATAGGAGTAGGTGGCCGAAATGGAGTGGGGCCAGACAGAGGCTGAGGAGAAGATTGATGGAATGTGGGATCGAGCTAGAAACATGGTCCACATGGGTGACCGACAAGAGGTTCTGCTCAAGAGGACGGAAGCCAGAAGTCTCAGTGAAGGAAGAGTTATCAGAGAGGATGTAGGAAGATAGTAGAGCCCGGGACAAGATCTGCAGAGGAACCAAGGTACAAGGGAAAAGAACTTTGGAAAGATCAGTGGCAACAAACAGGTAGCGTTTCTAATCTCCAGATTCTAAGACACAGGGGTTGAAAGAAAAGAATGTCCCCCTCACCCCAAGAAGATGACGGAGGAAGGGAAATCCGTGTGTGTGTGTGTGTGTGTGTGTGTGTGTGTAGGGATGGGGATGCAGGGGATTGCAGGGACCTTAAAAATGAAGGAAAATAAATGTGAAAATGGTGATACAGAGAATTGGATGTGATTTGTACATGGCCCAGTGGAAAGGACTGAGAAGGGCGAGGTTTAGATCACGGTGACAACTTGTAAAGTATGGCAAGTACAAGAGCCAAGTGGCGAAGCCGTTTTCCCACTGCTCCATGTGAGATGGTGGTAGCTGTATGGGGTGACTGTGGGGTTCTTTGTAGAATTGCTCTGGTGTCACCTCTCCGGGAACACTCTATCCAGGGTTCTTTTCTCTGATGCCAGTGATTGGGTAGAAACTTCCTCTCATCGGCTTGAGAATTTTGTATGTTTCCTATAGGGAATTTAGACAAAGCTGAAGGACCAGGACTGACTTAAATACACCTACCTCTAAGTTTATGGAGAACTTCTCTCGTCTATTTACAGTAGACCTTTCTGTCTTATTCTTCCTCATGATCTAACTTCCAGTGTATAAAAACACCACCACAGTGGCTCTGGAATTAGCTCCAGGGGATCTTGAGGCTCCTGGGATGACAATCATTGTAAAAACATTGTAAAACCCTCTTCTCTCTTCTGTGTGGGCCTAAAGCCACCACTTTTCAGATGAACTTGAAATTGACCCATTTGTTGTTTTTTTTTTTTTAATTTAAACATTTTTAATAGGTTTATTTTGTTATATGTGTTTGTGTATAGGTATGCATGTTCACCATAGGTGTGCCTGGTGTGGCGCAGAGGTCAGAAAAGGGCAACAGGGTCCCCCGGAACTGGAGTTACAGATGTTGTGAGCTGCCGTGTGGGTGCTGGGAACTGAACTGGAGTCCTCTGCAAGAACAAGTTTGACTGACTGCTGAGCCATTTTTCTAGCTCAGCATCGACCCATTTTAATTCTGGATAATAGAAGCATAGATTGACTGGGAAAGCAAGATACAAGCCACTACTTATGCCACAGATAGTGGGACTGGTAACTCTTCTTGCTCTCTGAAAGTAGGATACACACATATATCCATAACATAAGTTATTAATTTTTTTTAGGGGACATAGAATTAAGAGGAAGGCAACTCAGTGGGTCTTGCAAACCAATTTCATTCTTCTCTGTAAATGTTTCTGGTAGCTGACTGTTTTGTCTCTTTTGTAGGCACTGTTAAGAATGGAAGAGGAGGACACGGATGGTGGAATCAGGTTTAGTTCCCTATGTTTCGTTAATGATCATGTTGGATTTCAGGGCACTATAAAAACCTCCCCAAGTGACTTCATCGTTACTGAGATCGACGAACAGGGGCAATTAGTCAGTAAGGCCATTGATGAATCCGTTTATGAAATTAGTGAAACACAGTCTGAGCCAAGTCATTTTGTCAAAAAGCCAAAGCTAAATATTCAAGATGTACCCTCAGACCGTGAAGGTAACGAAGACGCTACTAACCTGCCTGGGCACTCGGACGGTGACCGGAGTCATCCGTCTGCCTCGGATAAGGAAGACGGTGTCAACGGTGTGACTTCTAAGTGTGAGAAGGAGAATGTTGACTTACTGAGTTCACTTCTAGGTGAGAAAACTCGTACATTGCTGGAGCAGTTTGCCCGTGACATCAAAGGGATGTGGGATTCAAAAACCGAGTTAACTGAACCATCCCGGGAATTCTCACTAGGTAGGATCCCTGACAAAAACCTAAGGGCTCTTCTACACAGTGCCGTCAGGCAGACGTTTCCCTTTTTAATAACCGTAGGGAAAAACAGTGAAGTCTTTGTAAAACCAAACCCCGAGTATAAAGAGCTCTGCCGTCTGGTGTCTGAAGAAGAAGCGCTTGGTTTTTTCAAATATTTGGATGCAAAGAAAGAAGATTCCAAGTTTACCTTTAAGCCGGATACAAACAAAGGCCACAGGAAAGCCGTGCACCATTTCCTCAACAAGAAGTTTGGAACCCTTGTGGAAACCAAATCTTTCCCTGAGCAGAACCCCAGTGCTGGGAATCCAAACACAGCCATAACCGTGAGGTTCCGGGAAAAGGCTCGGACACATGGAAAGAGGGCTCGTCTTGAGCGTGAGGGAAGAAAAGCTGTCTATACAGGTAATTCTGTCAATCCTCGTTTACTTGTGTAAAATTTGTGAAAGATAAGTGATTTGGATTAAATAGGCCTGGTCATAGAGCTGTTGTAAAGAATGGGTGAACTGTTTATTTGGAGAAAGATGAAGCCTTGCAAATGATGCTAAATGTGAAAATTAACTAAGTATGGATCATAAAGACATTTACAGCTAACAGTCACAAAGGTATAAAGTTGAAGCAATTGTTTTGTATTTGATTGGTTTTGAGAGTCTTCATTTTTCTGTTTTCAGAATAGTCTCACCTACAGTTAAGCATTTGGGGGTAAGGTGGATGTATTGTCATCCTGGGAAGGGAAAGGAATGCTCTGTAGTGTAAGGTGGGGGCCTGCACACGTGGTTCACCAGGCTTCCCGGGGATGCTCAGGCTTTCACCGGCATTGTAGTCACTCAGCAGTGTTGTAAACATGGTTACATACCAACCACAGTTCCCCCTCCCTCCCGGCTCCCATCTCCCTTCTCCCTCACCTTCCAGCCCCCCTCCCCACTACTCCCCATCCTCTCCTCATAGTCGATAAAGCCTCCCTT